AGAAGGGCGGCTTTTTGGAGTCAGCAAGGGAAGCTCTATACAGCCGTTGTTCCGAGTTTTCTATTGATTTCTGTTGGTACAGCATTGTAGGCTGATTCGATCTATCCTGGCAGGAATGATTTCGAAGAGGGTAGAAAACCTCGATCCCACAAACAACTTGAAATTTGAAGCTCGTGACGGCCTCAATTCATAGTACGTTACAAATCGATCGATACGGATTTGACACCAAATACAAATCGATCGATATGGATTTGACATATCTATTTATCGACTGATTGCTAGAATGCTTATACCAGAAATAGAGTCATTCTTACAATCAGATGCATTTGTACCGTATACAGATTTCATGGGGTGTGTGCCATGTACCCAAATCTACAACTGTTTCTGTGTTAGATTACCTATGTGGAATGTAGCTGTTTCTTTTTACCAAAGAATGGGCTCTTTCAAAGCTCAAGACTTGTCAAATATTTGGAACTTATGTTTCGAGGTTTTCTTGCACATATGTATGCATTCGTTAACGACCTACCATATATCCACATGAAAAAGTAAAAAAAAAATCAAAGACCCTGAAAGAAATCAATGTTAAAATTGACTGTTACGGATGTGGTGTATGTAGTCACAAAAGGCGCATTACCATATACACACAGTACGAGGGTCGGACTCTTCAGATCGATACTTGCCCAGGTCAACCAAGCCTTCCATCCCTTCGGAGTCGGTCAATTGCTACCAGATTCGCTGAGAGGATAAGAGCTCTGAATTTTACATTGGGTGGCCACTGCAAGCCACTGTATAGGGCACATACGCAATCAAGCGCTACTACGATTCTGACTAGAAATCGGAAGCGATGCGTATTCCAAAAACGGGACTGATTAACGACAAAGACTTCATCCTTTCATCCTTCAAGCATAACAAGTAAAAATGCCTGACTTACTGAGTTGTGACAGCTTTAAGTGAAAATAATGTTGTAAGCAGAAGGCAGGCGATGATTGTAATCCGTGGCCAGGTGGCTACTGTATGGCCAAGCCAACGACATAGCCACACCCATGCTCTGGTCAGCCACAAGTCTTTCATTGATTAATAGAACTAGAATTACAATGCAATAAATACTACTCCAATACGTACGTATTCAAGTAAGTTCGGCGAAAAACGTCTCAGTCATTGTTCAGAGTGCAATAGGACTGGTTTCAAGTAGGTGACATCACTGAACGACGATTCACGACCGCACAAAGGTGAACAGGGTCTGATGACGTACAAATGAATTGAACTTGCAAAAAATCCCTATAGAACAATAGGCTATTTCGTACAGAATATGAGGATGAAAAAGTTGGAATTCGATCTGAGTTCATTTCAAGTAAGAAATAACCGGAGCCATGGGAAAAACTGTTATGTCCATGCAGTCAGCAGTCGAACAATGCACTTTCAAATTGTTAACTATAAAAANAAAAATGATTGCAAAGGGGTAACCAGTTTTGTTGAGAAAAACCCCCAGTTGGTGACCTTTTCTGAGTCGAAGGATTAGACCTACACGTCCCTGTATCGGAGATTGACCCTGGTTTAGGGTTACCATGTCAGTGCTGGATGCTTAAAAAATAGCCATAGAAACTCAATGTGCTGGCCGATATTTTGAGCATTCTAATTGACTTCGATTAGAGCTCTGGAAGCTCCTAGTAGCGTGTGGGCTAGGGGAGAACGGGTGAGAGGAGGAGAGAGTAAAGGTGAATTGAATGGGAATGACTCGTTCAGAATTGAACGCTCCCAGGGTTCAGCTCCTATTAAAGCATTAAAAATCATAGGAACAGATCAGCCTCTGATGAATAATCATTGTACAAAAGAATTATTCGATCCTATCAAGCAAGTCCAACAGATCTACTAGAAAAGGTTGATAAATTCGGCGAACGGGGTGGTATGGGAACCGTACGCACATTCCTTCACAGAAGAGAAAAGAACCGTTTGAATCCGTGAGTGATGCACCTACGAAGAGCGAAATGCTGGTTGTATGGTCAAGCTGTCCTAACCTAGGTACCGTACCCTAGGCGAAGTTGGATGAGCCTCTCCAAGAAAGGGCTTGGCCCAGGGTTTTTGGGGAAAGCGTTACCCGCCGAAGACACTTGAAATTTTCTAACGCACGGAGGCCTTTTTGAAGGTTTTCGTTACCAACTAATTCGCCGACGACTGAATCTAAACTGAAGTGGAAGCGGAAGTCAAAAAGCCATGTTTCACCGTACCATAGACATCTGGTAATGTAAATCGGAATCACCTAATTATGCGTTCCAGTCTCTACCGGATGGTAGCGCATACATACTAAACTGATTCACAATTAGTCAAACACTTAGTCACAATATGAAGATCAGCAAAAAATTCAACAAAATTCCACCCAGGACCTCCAAGGACTTCATAATATTCCTGGAAAAAGAGAAGTCTGCCTAGAAGCTACTGAACAAATATAGGATCATTGAGAGCTCTAATAGTCAACCAAGGTGCAGACGTTGAAGGAAAGGAAAGACGGGCAGTAGGATCGGTTTTGTGTAGTCGACCCCTCTCCGCGACGCGACAATCTCGATCCTACTGCACCACACCCAAGAGGGGAGGACAGGTAGGTAAAAAAACAACTAGTTCTGTTCCTCTTCGCAATAAAACAAATTGGAAATCGTTGAAACGACAGTAAAGAACGGTAAACAAGTTACTCTTAGAAGCGACGGGAGACATTGAGGAAGACGACTGTGTCCGTTGATGGGAAATGTGAAGCCCAACAGAGTGTGACGCCTCGCCTTGTTGCCCAATACAACAAAAAAAGGAAGGTCGAATTCGGGCATGTTGTATGGGTCTAAGACGTCCTCGTTCACCAAAATAAATACTCGGATTGGAGGAGGAACACAAGGGCAGTAAAGGGTCAGGCATAAGATGTGTCACATGCCGCAAGTGATTGGGAGAGGGGTGGGACACGATAGCGTAAAAAGTGTGATGAATAACGTGTTCTACAACAACATAGGAATACGTCAAAGGATGAAAAATTTCACCTAGTAAGTTCNAAAAATTTCACCTAGTAAGTTCGTTTGTTAACCGTCTGCAACCGGATTCTGAAGGCAGGACAAGAAAAGGACAGTCTGGGCGCTTATTATTGGCCCTGACACACTTGTTGGCAAGAGCTAATCTCTGTCAAAATAGGTCGTTAAAGGAAAACACAGCTGGTAAATGTTAAGTCGGTGAGTTTCTTCAAAACAAAACTCCGACGTGAAACTGTTGAATGGGCAGATTGTTTTCTTTGCCCACACTGCTTATACGGGCTCCCAATCTTGGTATTAGACACCTAGCACCTAGCACTGGCAAAATGTCTTTGGAAGAACCGAACTGTACCGAAATATTTCTAGGGATAAAAGAGCGTTAAACCCATACGGTTAAGCTTGAAGCTGATGCTGAGATCGATGCTATTCGGAGATACAAAAAATTAA